CCTGTTCCTTTAAATATAATTAGTATAGCCAGCCTGGCACCTTTTTAAATATTTGCTCTTATTTTTGAATAGGGCTAACATTTCATTTACTTAATTTTCTACACTCTTAATATTTTTTATGTATTTCTCCATGTTTGCTTTAAGCAAAATTGCTTAAAAAATATTTTTGGTTAAATATTGTCATTGGTATGTGATCCTAACACTTAGATTTTAAAACACAAAGTCAAGAGTTTTTAGAACTACTGAAATGTAAACATTTGGCTTTAGTTTTGCTTCTTTTTATTTAGTGTAAGAATGAACTTTTGGAATCAGCTCCTGGCAGGAATAAAAATTAAGTGAGAAACTGAAAATAAATGGGATCATGCATTTCATTTGGACTAAGAGGTTTCAGCAGTGAAAAGTTACTGTACATCACATCCATTTATGGCTGTAATACCTAAATATCTAGGCCCAACGAGATACCCCATGTTAGTACCTTTATCTTTAACAAAGAGTACTGCTTTTTTTCATTCAGCTGGTAACTTCAACTTCAGACCAAACTAAGTGAGATTTAAAGCTTTTTGGATGTTAGTCTTTCAAAAGGTTGATGCAGATCTAAAAAAGTTTCTTATTTATGAGATAGGATAAAATTCCATTCATGAGGTCTTTTGATTTCATTGTTATAAATCCTGAGGAAATTTAATCCAGGCATTTCTCTTAGTTATTTTTTGGTGTTGCTTCGGGGTTTTGCCGTGTAAGTAGTGGTTATAGAAGTGTGGTATTCTTGTAGGAGAGCACAGTAAACAGTGTTAAATTGTAGAACTTAAAGCTACCTTGCCTTATAATAGTTTAAAAATATAAAGCATGTCTATTTTTTTTTAATCCTAAGGCAGTTAGAGAAATTATATTGTCCTTAGTTCTAAGAGACTTAAGTTATTAAAGACTAATAGACAAATAGGGTAATATTTTATTCAAAATTATTTCAACATTTTTGTCACTTATCAAATAAATTTGAAATCATTTTACCCTTCCATTTGACTCATATTTAATTTTAGCATTGTTTCAACTGAATAGGAGGATTTTACTTGAAACCACTCTTATTGTTTCTAACCAATTTTTTCCTAAATGGACTTTTTTTAAATTTTATTTTCATTAAGACCCACATTATAGTGCTTTTTAAGGGTTTTGGTAACATTTTAAAATTTGCAAGTATTCAAAATGGCAACTCTTTAGAAGTCTGCAAACCATAGAAGTTATACATTTACGGAAATATCATTTAAAAGGAACCATAACAAATAGAGTACTACCAAGTTTCTGACAGAAAACCTTCTTCAGATAAAACAAATACCTTGGGGTAGATAGTATGTAGTACATAAAGATCCTTTAATCAGTCTATAGATTAATACTGACTAATTTAAATTGCTAATATTCAGTGAATAGTACAAATTGAACAGATTATTAGAATTCTGAATCAGATAGAAATTCATACTGAGTACGTTTCAATCTATCCTTAATTCACAAGAGCTCTTATTCATCAGCTAATTAGATTTAACATTTTTCCATTGTGAGTGCTAAAGCCATTGGCCAAATTAAATGAAAACAAGTCCCTTGTTGGGTTCTCTCACAAAAGTAAGGCTGTACACAGATTGCAAAGATTGAGGATGCAGGATGATGCCATTTAATGGGATGGGCCTTTTATTCTGAAATAGAGCTCTTTATAATAATTGAAACTTAGAGCATAGCAGACAAGGGGTTTGCCTTCCCATGTTATTCCCCCTGCAGCAGCAGCAGCCTGTCAGCTGTATGCTAACGAGGTGAACAATTAAACAGGGTCCTATCTGGATGGCCCCATAGGCTCTATGCTCAGACAAAGAACTGTTTATACACCTGTTGTGTGTGTAGACAGAGCCATTTGAATGTGGAGTTGCAGATTAAAGGGAGGACATTGGGAGCCAGGGTGAACAAGGGTTAAAGAGAACCATAAGAACTGTGAAAGTCAAATTCTCCAGAAAATATATGAGGGCCATTTGCAAGGGGAATCAGGTTACAAAGAAAAAGTTCCTGCTAACTTCATTAACATGAAAAACTCTTTTCTGCTAGTCTGAGGCCATTTTTTAAAATGCTTATATTTTTGCTGTGTGTGCCAGTTAATTTTTTTCCTTTGAAAGCAAGTAATATACGTTAATGTGAGAAAACAAACAAAAAAAAAAAAAGAATAGGTCTAGGAGCTGGGTGCCCATAGCTCAATGGTCAGGGCACCGGCCACATGCTCCTGGGCTAGTGGGTTAGAACCCAGCCCACGACTGCTAAAAAACAAACAAACAAAAAATAGCCGGGCGTTGTGGTGGGAGCCTGTAATAGTCCCAATTACTAGAGAGGCTTGGGCAAGAGAATCACCTAAGCCCAAAAGTTTGAGGTTGCTGTGAGCTACAACATGATGGCACTCTACCAAGGGTAACAAAGTGAGACTGTCTCAATTTAAAAAAAAAAGAATAGGTCTAGGCTTCTAAGATTTCAAAAGAAAATTATGGTTATATATTGTGTTTACTCATATCTATTCTTATGAAATGAAATAATTTTTAACTGACCTTCCTCTTAGGCATTGAGTATTTCATAGATCACAAGAAACATGACCATAATCCCTTGAGACAGGATTTCAAGAAATATCTTAAAAATAATTTTCTCTCTTGAATACAGTTTTTACAATCTACTTCTCAGTAGGTTTAGTTCTTCAGATTTTTCTAACATTTTGTGGGGAGGAGAATCTGAAGACTAAAACCTTTGGTTGTGGAATGTGGGATGGAAATCTCCCAGAGTTTCTGTGGTCCCTTCCCAGCTTTAAGATTTTATAAATCTAATGCATGATGAAATTACATAGTTTAGAAAAAGGGTATAGTCAGTGCTTGATTATCTAAGGGAACAGTGACACAAGTAATACTCATCAAGCTATGGAATACATGAAATGAGTTTTGAGATTTTTTATTTTAAAAAATGTAAGGGCTGGCTCGGCACCTATAGCTCAACCGGCTAAGGCGCCAGCCACGTACACCTAAGGTGGCGGGTTCGAATCCCCAGCCCGGACCCGCCAAACAACAATGACGGCTGCAACCAAAAAATAGCCAGGCGTTGTGGCGGGCGCCTGTGGTCCCAGCTACTTGGGAGGCGGAGGCAGGAGACTCGCTTGAGCCCAGGAGTTGGAGGTTGCTCTGAGCTGTAATGCCACGGCACTCTACCCAGGGGGACAGCTTGAGGCTCTGTCTAAAAAAAAAAAAAAAAAAATGTAAGGGCTATAAATTATTTTTGTTGTTACATAGATCAATTGTATCATGCTGAATTCAGGCTTTTGGTGTACCCATCACCAGAACAATATACATTGTACCCAAAAATGAGTTTTTAAAAAACATATTAAGAATAATGGTTAAAGACAAACATTTATTTAAAGGTATTGTAAAATAACTGCTATATTATGATCAGATCCATTGCCAAATGGCCTACATTACCAAAAGATTTGCTTTGGTTCCCTTTGTTTAGTTCACAGGAAAGCAAAGAATAAATCTACCTCCATACAAAGTCATGAAAGACAGAAGCTCTAATTACTCAAGAGGGATTCAAAGTTCAGCAATTTAGTAGGATTGGAGGATTGGTTGAAAAATAGTGGTTCTCATATATAACTCTGGGCAATAAACCTAGTTAATTGAAGACTTAATCTACTAGTTGATATCTCTGCCTCTATTCTAATAAAAACCATCTGTAACAAGATTTTCAAAAGATACTGTAGCTGAAAGTTGGTGGTTGCATGCTTTACCTTTCCATTTCAGGTTACCTGTGACTTGTAGGTGTGATTAAAACTGAGAATACAAATGTATGCCGGTTTTGTTGCCCAGTAATGTGTAAAACTTTTAAGCTAATATTGTATTGCTTTTGCTGCTCTTTTAAAAATCTGGAGGGGAGACAGAAGAAGTAGAAATAAGATACTATATACAAAAGGGACAAACCAACTTACATAAATACTGTTGTTACTTGCAATATAGCAATATTTTGTTAAATGCAAGTTTGTGCATGTTTCTGGAGAAAATTAAATAGGTTTTCAGATTGATTATGAAGAATTATTAGTAGGCCCTATATTGTCTAGTGCTTTATGGTTTATAGAATGCTTTATCTTTATTAGCTTATTTGCTTCTCACAACAACCCTCTGTAGGAGTTTAAATTTCCAAGCTAGAATTTTCTTTTTTTTTTTTTTTTCCTTTTTTTTTGAGACAGAGTCTCACTTTATCACCCTTGGTAGAGTGCTGTGGTGTCACAGCTCACAGCCACCTCATTCTTGGGTTCAAGTGATTCTCTGTCCTAAGCCTCTTGAATAGCTGAGACCACAGACACCCGCCACAATACCTGGCTATTGTTAAGAGATGAAGTCTCGCTCTGACTCAGGCTAGTCTCGAACTCATGGGCTCAGGTGACCCGCCCACCTTGGCCTCCCAGGGTGCTAGGATTACAGGCGTGAGCCACCACACCTAGCAAAGCTAGAATTTTCATTTTTTAAAAGGTAAAATTTGATTTGATTTAAAAGCAGTGCTACCAGCTCAGTGCCTCTAGCTCAGCAGCTAGAGCACCATCCATATACACCAGAGCTGGCAGATTCGAATCCACCTGGGCCAGCCAAACAATGACAACTACAACAAAAAAATAGCCGGGCTTTGTGGCAGGCGCCTGTAGTCCCAGGTACTTGGGAGGCTGAGGCAAGAGAATCGCTTAAGCCCAAGAGTTTGAGGTTGCTGTGAGCTGTGATGCTACAGCACTCTACCTAGGGTGACATATTAAGACTCTGTCTCCCCCAAAAAATAAATAAACAAAAGCAGTACTATGATCAAGTATATTATAGCATCCAGAAAAAGATGCTAAATTCAGATGAGTGATATTGTTTTCTCTGTTAAACCTGGTAAAAGAATTTGGACAATTATTACCCCTGAACTGTCTTGACCATTTTGATATTTTTTTGTTTTTGTTTTTTGTTTTACTTCAGATTGGAACTCACCGGGAAGACTCTGTCAGTCTCAATGGCAATCATTCAGTCCTGTCTAGTACAGTAACTGCTTCAAGCACAGACCTGAACCATAAAACACAAGAAAACTATAGAGGTACCTGTATTGTTGATTTTCAGCAATAATGCAGAGATAGCCTTTGAAACCCTGTCATTTGTCTTGCAGCTGAATAGACTTCTGTGAATTAAAAGTCCTTTAAGAGGAAGAATTCCAAAAAGTAGTCTTACTATAGTGTCTTCACCAGGTGTGGAGGTTAGATATTTAGGATTCCAACTGGCCGGCCTGGCTGGTCCAGTTATACACACTTATTAATAGATGAAGCCCTGTACAAAGCTTTGTTCATTATTCACTGGTTATCTTTATACCTGCTCCTTCTTCGTCTCTCTTCCTTAATCACTTCCCCTCATGAGTGAGAAAGATTTCTGAGTATACGAAGAGCTCTAAATGATGGAAGCTATTGTAGTAGAGATTATAATTTAATTGGTGAAACATACAATTCTGATAAAACACAAACTGTGAGCTTATAAATAAGCACATAAATACAGGACCAGTATTAAGACCACCAGAATAAAGTTCTCCCAGTTACATTTAACCAGGAAATTTATTTTATTGTGTTTATCCAAGGAAATGTTAAGCTTATTCCTTTACCTTGGCACCATCTTAAAAAGTTTCTAAAATACATTCAAGTTTCTCATTCTGTGCTTAACTATTAAATAGTGCCTAAAAGTGAGCATTAAACTGATTATCAGGGTCCAGCTTATTCATTTAAGTACATATGCTGTAAAAATCATAAAAAATAACTTAAGAAAAAGAAAGAAAGCTAACTGATTGGTTAACCTCAGGTTACCTCTCTGTCATAAAGATGAAAACACAGAGGAATCTTCATTATCACACCCACCAAAGATTGAAACTGGCCTATTTGGGAACTGGCTGTGTTTCTCTCCTAATTTCTCTCAACTGACTTTCAATTAGGTGACATAGAAAACGTCAACGTGGATAACTCCATTTTGATTTTTAGTGTAGTCTGCTTAATCCAGAATAACAGACTCCTGTAATTTGTATTAAACAGTTTTAATGCATGTTTTTTAAAAAGCTTGTAGACACGTTCTTTTCATCTCTAAATTATATACTTTCCTATATCTTCAGATTTCTGTCATAGCCCTGTAACAAGTAAGGATAGTCACCATCTGACAAGCTTTTTACTGTCTTAATTCTAATTCATAAGTCAGTCTGGTCATTTATTTTATGTTTCCTTTGCCTTTTTGTTAGGTGGCTTGCAAAGTCAGTCTGGAACTGTTGTTGCAACAGAGATCAAGACTGAAAACAAAGAGAAAGATGAAAACCTTCATGAACCTCCTTCATCAGATGACATGAAATCAGATGATGAATCCTCCCAAAAAGATATCAAGGTTTCATCTAGAGGCAGAACAAGGTATTTGTTGGCATCCAGGTATTAAATTTCACTCATTTGCTGTGAGTGAAAATACTTGAGAAGTTAGTTAAAGGTTGTCATGCATTTATTGACTTCCAGCTACATGCTACGTACTGTATTGGGATTTTTATTTAGTTTTTATTAAATTGCCATAGTTCCCCTAAAGGGGAAGCATGTGAAGGTTTTACTCCAAAATCATGTTTTCCTTTATGCCACAACATTTTAGGGTCTACATATTAAAAAAGAAAAATTATATCTCTCCGTTGAAGTTGCTTAATCTCTTACTCTGTTAGAAAATAACTAAAACATGTTAAATTGTGTGGTACAGACATTTGATGCATTCAGTCAACAAATAAATAAGTCTAGCCATACTTAACAATGGGGATACATTCTGAGAAATACATCATTAAGTGATTTTTGTCATTGTGTGCATTTCACGGAGTATACTGACACAAACCTAGATGTAAATACACAAATCTAGATGGTACAACCCACTACGCACCTCGGCCATATGGTGTAGCCTGTCACTCCTAGGCTATAAATGCATACAACAACTGTACTGAATATTACAGGTAGTTGTAATGCAATGGTAAGTATATGTGTAGCTAAACATATGAAAGGTACAGTAAAAATAGAAGATAAAGTCTAGTATACCTGTGCATTTGTAGGACACTTACCATGCATCACCAAGAGCTTGCAGGACTGGAAAGTGCTCTAGGTGAGTCAGTGAGTGGCAGGAGTGAATGTGAAGGCCTAGGACGTTACTATACACTACTCCACACTCCATAAACATTATACTCTTAGGCTACCCTAAGTTTAATAAAGTACATTTTTCTTCAATAATAAATTAATATTAACTTCTGTTACTTTTTTACTATATAAACTTCTTAACTTTTTTGAACTGTCTGACTCTTTAATAATAACACTTAAAATACAAACACATACCGCTATACAAAAACATTTTCTATTTATATCCTTATAGGCAGTCCCTGGATTACAAATGAGATAGGTTCTATAGGTTTGTTTTTTGGATTTTCTTTTTTTTCTTTCTTTTTTTTTTTTTTTAAAGACAGAGTCTCACTATGTCGCCCTCAGTAGAGTGCCATGGCTTTGTAGCTCACAGCAACCTCAAACTCTTGGGCTCAAGTGATCTTCTTGCCTCAGCCTCTGAGTAGCTGGGACTACAGGCACCCACCCCAATGCCAGGCTATTTTTAGAGACGGAGTCTTGCTCTCAAATTCCTGAGCTCTAGCATTCTATCTGCCTTGGCCTCCCAGAGTGCTAGGATTACAGGTGTGAGCCACTGTACCCAACCAATAAAATTTTAAATTTTTTAACTTTTTAAATACTTTTATTAAAAATTAAGTTCCAAACACCGACTAGTCTAGGCCTACACAGATTCAGGACCATTGAATCAGGACCATTAAATTTTTTAACTTTTTAAACATTTTTATTAAAAATTAAGTTCCAAACACTGATTAGTCTAGGCCTACACAGATTCAGGACCATTGATATCACTGTTGTCTACCTCCACACCTTGTCCCATTGGAAAGATTTCAGGGGCAGTAACATGCATGGAGCTCCTATGACAACACTGCCGCCTCTGGAATACCTCTTGAAGGACCAGCTTGAGGCTATTTTATAGGTTTGGGGCATTTTGTAAGTAGGACCACACTCTAGAATAATGATAAAAATATAGTATAATAAATTCATAAACCAGTAACAGTTTTTTATTAAGTATAGTACATCCTCAAATAACGTTTATTTAGTTCAGTATTAATGAGGAAAAAAATTGATTCCTAACAGGAGCCACTGTGTGAAGTTTGCATGTTCTGGTCTCCCTTGTAGGTTTTCTCTCCATGTACTCTATTTTCTTCTACATCCCAAAGACAGGAACGTTAGGTAAACTGGCATGTCTAAATAGTCCCAATCTGAGTGAGTATGGAAGTGTGTGTGGGAGTTCACCCTGGAGAGTGGCTTCCTGTCCAGGGTTGCATTCACCTTGCTTCCTATGCTTCTAGGATAGGGTCCAGTTATCCATGAATAATAAGTGGATAAATCTTACTTATTCTTTTCTTTCACATAACTTCAATGTTGGATACTGGAGGTGTTTGGGGTCTTTATTTAGAAGTTTGGTGATGTTTTGTGACCATAAATAGGCTGTAAGAATGTCACTCTTGTTTATATCAATTAGTCTATGATAAAAATTGGTTTTAGCCAGTGTGGTTTCACTTAGAGTTGGAGTTTCCCAAAACCTATCATTGACATTAAGTGAGGACTTACTATATTGTATACTGTACATAATTATATACTGTTATATAACTGGCAACACTGTAAGTTTGTTTACCCCAAGAGCAACACAAACACGTGGGAAATGCATTGTCCCTTCACTGGACGATAGAGGAGTTTTTCAGCTCAATTATAATCTTTTTTTTTTTTTTTAAGACAGTCACATTTCGTCACCCTCAGTAGAGTGCTGTGACACCACAGCTCACAGCAACTTCCAACTCCTGGGCTTAAGCAATTCTCTTGCCTCCGCCTCCCAAGTAACTGGGACTTCAGACCCCCACCACAACACCCAGCTTTTTTTTGTTGTTGTTGCAGTTGTCATTGCTGTTTTAGCTGGCCAGGGCTGGGTTTGAACCCACCACCCCTGGTATATGGGGCCGCACCCTACCCCCTGAGCCACAGCCGCTTCCCCTCAATTATAATCTCTCTTTTTTTTTTTTAGAAACAGTTTCACTTTGTCACCTCAGTAGAGTGCTGTACCATCACAGCTCACCGCAACTTCCACCTCTTGGGCTTAGGTGTGACTAAAGGTGCTCACCACAACGCCTGGCTATTTTTTTGCAGTTTGGCCAGGGCTGCATTTGAACCCGCCACCCTCGGCATGTAGGGCCAGTGCCCTACTCACTGAGCCACAGACGCTGCCCTCAATTATAATTTTAATGGGATCATTGTTACATATGCAATTGACCAAAACATCATTATGTGGCACATAAGGGCTCTATGATTGATTGATTGATTGACTGATTGATTTTATCATTATTATTATCATTATTATTTGGAGACAATCTCACTCCCTCACCCTAGGTAGAATGCCATGGCTTCATAGCTCACAGCAACCCCAAACTCTTGAGTTTAATCCATCCTCTTGCCTCAGCCTCCCTAGTAGCTGGGACTATAGGCACCCATCACAGCGCCTGGCTATTTTTTCTACCTTTTTAGTAAAGACCAGATCTTGAACTCTTGAGCTCAGGCAATCCACCTGCTTCATCCTCCCAGAGTGCTAGGCATGAGCCACCATGTCTGGCCCCAGTACTCTTATGATTTAAAACAGGGGGTGGCAAACTATGGCCTTTGAGCCAGTCAGACCCACCACCACATCCCATTCATTTACATGCTGTCTGTGGCTGTTCTTGTGTTGCATTGGCAGATTTGCTTACTTGTCACTACTTGAGAACATATGGCCCACAAAGCTGAATGATTTGAATGATTTCCAATTTCTCCCTTCAAATTTTTCTTCTAGTTCTACAGTTAAATAAGATGATACAATATATTTATGGTACACCTTGGTTTTGGTATATGTATTCATTTATCAATAATATATATATATCATCTATGTAGATATTTATATTTAAAATACTGTTCTTTGTGTTAAATGGTGCAAAGGAGATATAACTAACAGAACTAACATGATCCTGTGTACTGTTCACATATTTAGCAGGTGTCCTGGCTCAGTGCCTATAGCTCTGCATCTAGGGCACCAGCCACGTAGACTGGAACTGGTGGGTTCGAATCTAGCCTGGGCCTGCCAAACAACAGTGACAACTACAACCAAAAAATAGCTGGGCATTCTGGTGGGCTACTTGAGAGGCTGACACAAGAGAATTGCTTAAGTCCAAAGAGTTTGAGGTTGCTGTGAGCTGTGACGCTATGGCACTTTACCCAGAGTGACATACCATATTTTCCCGAAAATAAGACACTGTCTTATATTCATTTTTTCTCAAGAAGACACACTAGGGCTTATTTTCAGGGATATCTTATTTTAATTAAGTATAATACAATAATCTACATTTATCCAAATACAGTTAAGTCATCTTCTTCTGGAACCTGACAGGGGGAGCCAACCTTGTTGGTGGGGCTGGCGCTAGTGATGCGTGAACTCCTTTCCCCTAGCCATTCACATGTGCACAGTAGGATGCCTGCCACTGTGGTTACCACACATGCACCCACGCAAGTATAAACGGCTTGGAGAAAGGAGCTGTAGCAAATAAAAGGTATTCCAGTCTTCCTTACCGCTACTCACCGAAATGCATGGTGTGGCTATGCAGATACAATGCATAGCCACGCCCATCACTAGGTCTTATTATCGGAGCAGGGCTTATATTTAACAAATGCATAGAAATCCTGCTGGGGCTTATTTTGGGAGAAGGTCTTATTTTCAGGGAAACATGGTATTGAGACTCTGTCTCAAAAAAAAAAAAATAGAAGATATCCTTTTTTTTTTTTACCTTTTGACAGTCTATTTTCTTTCTTTCTTTTTCTTTCTTTTTTTTTTTTTTCTTCTTTTAAAGACAGAGTCTTGCTCTGTTTCCCAGGCTAGGGTGTCAGGGCCTCAGCGTAGTTCACAGCAACCTCAAACTCCTGGGCTGAAGTAATCCTCCTGCTTCAGTTCTCCCTAGCAGCTGGGACTACAGGTGTCCTCCACCATGCCTAGCTAATTTTTCTGTTTTTTTAGAGATGTAGGTCTCACACTTGCTTATGCTGGTTTCCAGCAGCCTTCCAGAATGCTAGCATTACAGGTATATAATCATATCCAGCCTGACATTGTCGCTATTTTCAACACCCAAACATTTCTTTTTTTTTTTTTTTTTTTTTTGAGACAGAGCCTCAAGCTGTCCCCCTGGGTAGAGTGCCGTGGCATCACAGCTCACAGCAACCTCCAACTCCTGGGCTCAAGCGAGTCTCCTGCCTCCACCTCCCAAGTAGCTGGGACCACAGGCGCCCGCCACAACGCCCCGCTATTTTTTGGTTGCAGCCGTCATTGTTGTTTGGCAGGTCCGGGCTGGGGATTCGAACCCGCCACCTTAGGTGTACGTGGCTGGCGCCTTAGCCAGTTGAGCTATAGGAGCCGAGCCAACACCCAAACATTTCTTTTGAGAAAAATAAGATCTTAAGTTCCTAATAGTATTATTTTTATATGCATCATACTCAACTGTCAGGGGCATGAGAAGGTAAAAACCAGATCAGAGAATCCAGAAACCACTCCTTTGAGACGTGTTAACTCTTTCATAGTTTTATTCAAATAGAATTTGAAGAGAAATAATTTGCATGTTTCCTTCTTACTTATCTTCTCATGGAATAGACTGGGGATCAGGAAACTTTTGGTATAAAGGGCCAGATAGTAAATATTTTAGGCTTTTGGGGCTGTACAGTCTTTGTCACAACTACTCTGCTCCACCATTATAGTACAAAAGCATTTAAAGACAATGCATGAACAGATGGATATGTGGCTGTTTCAATAAAACTTATTACAAAAACAGATGACCAGCTCACAGGTCATAGTTTACCAACTCATAGTTCATCAAAAGGTGAGAGGCAACGTGTAATAGTCCACAATAGTGAATAGGTTGATAACATGGACTTTAAACAAAGGAAGTCTAAACTGGGTGTAATTATGGTTCTATCAGATACTTGTCAAGTGATTAAAGCTCTTTGATCTCCGTTTCTTATTCTCTAAAAAGAGACTTTCTATTATAGAATTCTTGTGAGAATAATCTGAAAATTGTGTATGTAAAGCCCTTTGCACACTGTCTAATGCACAGTAAGCACTAAATAAAGATATTACAATTGCTGTTATGATGGAAATTTTAGGTACATGGTGTACATTTGCTTCTATGTACCACAAGTCAGTACTTGTCATTATGCTACCACTAGCTTTGTAATCCTAAGGAGGTCACTGATTTCTCGAGTCTTACTGTGGTTCTCAGCCCTGCTGCATAGACATGGGAACATTTTAGAAACACAGATACCTAAGCCTCAACCCAAACTCACTAAATCATCAACTCTGGTAAGGGGACCTGGAAAAAAATAGAAAGAGAGAGAGAGAGAGAGCCTCAAGCTGTCGCCCTGGGTAGAGTGCTATAGCATCACAGCTCACAGCAACCTCCAGCTCCTGCCTCGGACTTCCAAGTAGCTGGGACTTCAGGCACCCACCACAACACCCGGCTGTATTTTGGTTGTAGTTGTCATTGTTGTTTGGCAGGTCCAGGCTGGATTCGAACCCACCAGCTTTGGTGTATGTGGCTGGCGCCTTAGCCACTTGAGCCACAGGCGCCAAGCCGCTAAATGATCTTTTAAAGCTTTTTTGAAGTCAGAGCACTAGTGATTCTCAATTGTCAAAAGAATGTGTTTATAAATTCTTAATGATTAGCTAGTAACAATCTATTGCATACCTATTCTTTATTAAAATACAGTATTTGAGAAAAGATGACAATTTCTATTATTTTTCACATTATTTCAGGGTTCTGAGCACTTATTTCTGAAATATAAATAGAACTTTCTAAAAGTTATTCCAAAGCATATCCCTGAAATATTATTTTCTGGTTGTGTGGTCTGTTTCCATTGTAGAAATGTAGTAAATATAATAAAGCATAAACAAAAATCATAAGAAACTCCACTCTCCAGAATTAACCACTGTTTACATTTTAAGGAATATTTCTTTTTCCATAAATACATATTAAATTGAAATTTAACTGGGCATAAATTATATAATCTCAGGGGGGGTTTTATTCAACCATGTATTTATAACATTTTTCACTTGTCTCTGAAGATTTTCTACAATATGATGTTTTATTTGTTTCTAATTTGGCCAGCTTTATTGAGGTTTAATTCACGTATAATAAAATTCATCAGTTTAAGTGTATAGCTTTTGTTCCTTGACAGATACATACTGCGTGTGTGTGTGTGTGTGTTTAGTCCTTTTGAGAGATTTAAAATTTATATAACCACCACCATATTCACTATGTGGAATGTTTTCACTCCCCCCTCTAAAATTTTCCTTATACTTCTTTGTGGCAGGCCCTTTCTCTATCCCCTGACCCTTGGTGACCATATCTGCTTTCTGTTAGCATAGCTTTGTCATTTCTAGAAGTTCATGTAAATGGAATCATACGGTATGTGGTCTCTCGTGGCTGGCTTTTTTGCTTAGCAGAATTTGTGGTTTGATTTTTAGAAGCTACATAGTGGTCAATTGTCTGGAAGTACTCTGGTTTCTTTAACTCATCTCTTTATTGGAGTCTAGTATGTTGCTAATGTAAATAATTTTGTGACCAATTCCTTTACATAAATTCCTGTGTACATCTCTAATTATATCCTTAGGATGAATTTCTAAAGTTGGGATTGCCACTCAAGAGGTACTGAACATTTTAAGGCTTTGGGATTCATTATGCCAATTTATCCTTCAGAAAAATTAATTCTCCCATGTTTTTATAATCACCAATACTGATAATGATACTGCTCTTTAGAGAAGAACAAAAATAACCATTCTCTGAGCTACCTCTCTCAATCTGTATCTTAAGTTTTTCCTTATTCTTACTCACCAGGTACTTGCCAGAATGTGTTTAAGAGCATAAGTTAAGCAAATTGTGATACATCCATGTACTAGATGGTTCTTTCAAACTTAAACCTGTGTGTGAATCAGCTGGGCATCTTGTTACAATGCAGCTTCTGATTCAGTAGGTCTGGGTAGAACCTGAGAAATTCTGTGTTTTTACCAGGCTCCCAGTATCGTTGACTATAGGTCATATTTTGTATAATAGAGTGCTAGAATATTATTTAGTCACTGATACTGTGTTTATGAAGAGTTTCACCAGTAAGAGAAACCCTTTATGCTATCATGCACAATGAAAAAATACATTTCAAAATGTATGTGGAATAAATTTCAACTATACAGCTACATATGTGCATGAAAAAAAGACTAGAAAGAAATATGCAGTCGCGTTAAGTGCTGCTTTTGCTATTGTTAAGATTTATAGGTAAATTTCATTTCCACCTTCATATTTAATAATTTTGCACAGGTAGCGTATCTTCACAGGAAACCTAATAGACATTGTTGCTACTTTGCTTTCCAGCAGTACCAATGAAGATGAGGATTTGAACCCAGAACAGAAGATAGAAAGGGAGAAGGAGAGGCGGATGGCCAATAATGCCAGGGAACGCTTGCGTGTGCGAGATATTAATGAGGCATTCAAAGAGCTGGGCCGAATGTGTCAGCTTCATTTGAAGAGTGAAAAACCCCAAACAAAACTCCTTATTCTTCATCAGGCCGTGGCAGTCATCCTTAGTCTAGAACAGCAAGTCAGAGGTGAGTAGGTTCAGCAGAGATACATAACTGTTCTGCCTCGGGGTACAGAGGTTTCTGTGTATAACTGCTCTCCTGCATGGGGGAATTATTAGTCATTTCTCCCAGTATTCTGTCACTGTTTCATCAGGATCAAGTTTTGCCTGTAGCTGTCAACCTCTGCCTCACTATATTGGTCAGTATCTGTAGGTTCAATGCTCCCCACAAACTCGTAGTCACTCCGAGAAATCAGGCAGAGAGCAGACCTCTTACTGCCTCTGATCTCTCACATTATTGAGTTTACCTGCCTAGACCCGCCATCCTCACTGCTCCTCCTGCCTTCCCTACTTCTCTATACCCCGTTTCTTGCCTGCTTTACCCTGGAGCATCTGCCACACCCTGCTTGTTAGTAGGATGCCTAATCTTGGCCCCTCCTGGATTTGCCAGATATGAATGTCCTTTACTCCCATGTCAATAAGTCTCAGGGCTTGTTGATCCCAGATAAGGAATGCTCTGAACTTTTTGGGCTAACATGCACTGGCATGCCTGTATGTCCTCAAGAACAAAAGTGTGGTTTATATAGGCTCACCTACCGCTGGCTCAGGCAACTCCCATTTCATTTTCATGAAGTTTGTTGGAATCTTGAAATTTGTTGCATATTCCAACAAACTTGGAAACTTTATTTGCTTTACATGCATTTATTGCATACCTCCTCTGTTCCAACCATCTAGGTCCTAGACCCGAGGTTACCAAATAGTAGATATTTCTTGCCCTTGAGAAGTGATCCCATCAAGTTTACATTTTTTTGCATATACCCATATACTTCTTATCCAAAATTACGAATGCTTTATCCTAAGACTTTTTGCAAGGAATTCACAGATATGGCCCTGGGTTCCAGACCCTGCCACGAGTCTCTCTTCTATGAAAGCAGCTGTATCTCCCTTATTTACTGGATATTTATGTTAGATTTTATTTGAAGAAGGTTCAAACAAAAAAATATGGGTGGACAGGTACTTGAAAACAACAACCATGACCCTCAACATAGATTACAGAAGGAATAGTCTTTCTTAGGAAACCAGACTTAGAGAATTTAAGCAAATTTTCAGAGAAACATACAATAGTAGGTAATTCTAATGAATAGATTTTTTTTTTTTTTTGAGATGGAGCCTCAAGCTATCCCCCTGGGTAGAGTGCCATGGCATCACGCTCACAGCAACCTCCAACTCCTGGGCTCAAGCGAGTCTCTTGCCTCAGCCTCCCAAGTAGCTGGGACTACAGGCACCCGCCACAACGCCTGGCCATTTTTTGGTTGCAGCCATCGTTGTTTGGCGGCCCAGGCTGGGGATTCGAACCCGCCACCTTAGGTGTATGTGGCTGGTGCCTTAGCTGCTTGAGCCACAGGCGCTGAGCCTAATGAATAGATTATTGTGTATAACCAGCCTATCAATAAAACCAGATATTTTTCTTGTCCCAAGGTCCTAGACATACCTGTAAGTGATAAAGGCTAAGGAAACCTAATTTTCAAAGAGTTACAGACTTGCTTGAGAGTTGTTTGTTGCCCATTCATTTGTAGCAGAAGTAATGGTTCCTGGAGCCTAATGGTATCTTCTGCCACTTTACCAAAGGCTTCTTCTAGAATCATTTCTGATACCCTATGTCTCTCTGTAAAGGCAGCAAGGCTCCTGTGTTCAGTACTCTAGGTGTATTCATTGTCCTCTTCAGCCCAGGATTTATTTTCTACCCTGACTCTACCAGCCAGTGCCTCCATCATCTATGCTGTGAAAATTGTACTCTTGGGTCAACAGGAGTGCCAGACTTTGTCCTAGGATATACCTTTCCCTCCCACCGTGAGTTAAAACTAGAACACAGGGGTGGCACCTGTGGCTCAGTGAGTAGGGCACCGGCTCCATATACTGAGGGTGGCGGGTTCAAACCCAGCCCCTGCCAAACTGCAACAAAAAATAGCCGGGCATTGGGGCGGGTGCCTGTAGTCCCAGCTACTCAGGAGGCTGAGGCAGGAGAATCACCTAAGCCCAAGAGCTGGAGGTTGCTGTGAGCTGTGATGCCACGGTACTCTACCGAGGGCGACAAAGTAAAACTTTGTCTCTAAGATAAAAAACAAACTACAACACAGATTCATTTGTTTTTTAAAAACAATTTTTTAAGAGCAGAGATTCCTACTTAGAGATCCTTGCCATCAAAATGAGAAACATTTCTGTGTTTGAAAAAAGTTGTAAACCCCATCAGGCCCAAGTGGACCTTATTTGTTTGTAACACTGGACTTTGGAGTCATCCCATACAGGCACCTAGAACATAAAACCTGAGTCTGAGAGAGGATCTAACATCTAGGCTTGTTCAGTAACTACTAAATTTCCGGTCACTGTTATGGGTACTGACTTTCTCACACATTTCTGGAAAGCTCTGTCTAAAGAGTCTTTGATTGGAGTCTGAACAAACTTAAGATACATTGAACTGTAACTTTATTAGGGATTGCTTTGATATTCAGAAAAGCCTACTTTCTCCTACCTTCAGACTCTGGGCTTTATGACTTTACATATAAGACTCATTAAAAGACAGTCTGAAAGCTATCTGTCAAACTGAATTTAGAATCCTCCATACAGATCTGTGCTTTGTCCTTGGGACCATCTTTGGGGCCATACCTGAGTTTGGTATGGCCACTGTCCTGTCCTGTACTTTATCTCTAGCAGTGTTGCATTATTTTGGTAACCTGTTCCCTCTTTTTCTTTTTCTTTTTTTTTTTTTTT